GATTACAAGTGAAACAGAACGGAAAACGAAACACAGAATGCATGAACGAAATTTCAGAAAATAGGGTCCCCGCTCGAGCGTGGACTTACCCGCTCGAGCGGACCCTTAAGGCCTGCAAAAGTACTGGTTGCATGAAACATACGCTCGAGCGTTAAATAGGGCGCTCGAGCGGAAGGCCTGTCAAAATAGCTCCCACCGTCGAGCGTTAATTACCCCGCTCGAGCGGACATTAAGTCTGCAAAAAGTACTGGAGCACGTATTTCCCGCTCGAGCGTCAGTTTTCCCGCTGCTGAGTGGACCTCAGAATTCTGGAAAACCCAGAACTGTGTTCTTGAGCTACGTTTCGACTTTCAAAACACAATTCATGCATGCTATGGCTCAAATTACACATTTACACATGCTAACATGCTACTAATACAAGATTATAACATTAGGAAGTTCGATTTCATGATTTGTCTACATGCATGTCCCAAAATATCTCAAACCCATCACCAACATGCTCAAATTCAAACATTCAAGACTTATACTCCCATGATTTGTACATGCATGTGGGAGATGCTCATCATTCTCAACTTAGATGATACAAATGGTGATTACAACATGAGTTTTAACCAAAACTCTACACGAATCATGTTTTCAAGCTCAAACATGCAATTCAAAGTAATTTCTTACATGCATGAGTTCTAAGACTTCAAACTCAACAAAAATCAACTCATTTCATGCTCTTGATCACAAACAACCCTTGAACTTACAAAATCACAATTTCAAACTTATGAATTTAAGACCAAATGCTTACCTAGAGGCTTAATCTTCCAAACTCATTCAAGAATTATTGTAGGATGAAAGTATCAAGGGGAAGAAAGCAGAGCAGAAAGCTCCCCCCGGTGGTTGTGGTTTCCTGGTGCTGTGCTGGCCAGTTGTTTAGCTCCTTATACTCCACTTTTTGAGTGTGAGTGAGCATGGTTCAAGTGTGTTATCCCCGGCTGTGGGGTGCGCAGTTTTCTTGCTCTGCACTTTTGTATCATTGTTCGGTTTTCATGGAAGTTTCAACATTTTTGGATTCCTAGATCGGCTATTTTCATGGCTGGTTGGGGTGTTTCCTTAAGCCTGGTGTTATACTCGGGTGACTTGTGGTTAGGTCACCACCAATGTGGTCGTTTATGGTTCGGCTAGGTGGGTTGGCTAACAGTTCAGCAAGCTGGGTCTCTACTTGATTCACTGGTGTTATCCATGGTTTTGGGTCCCTGGAGATGTTGGGGTTTTTCTTTTTTGATATCTGTCGGCGCTACTGTTACAGCAGTGTATTTTTTGATGCTCTGTTTTGTTTCACAGACTGGCTTATTGTGTGTTCACCGACGATCGTTACTGATATGGTCTCCTTTCGGGGTGGCTGTCCAGATTGTGTTCACCCCATCACTGTGGTGTGCCGCTGCTGGAATCCAGATCGCTTTGCCGTTTTTTGTGTTTCTGAGTAGTGCATGCTGGTGGTGTGGTTGTGTTTACCGGCTAGGTATTTTTTGCTGCCGGCGGTGTTTGGTGTTGGTTGTCAGCCTTTAGCTTCAACAATGGCAGCATGGTTTCGGTGTTGGAGCTAGAGTGCTTGGGTGGTCTGGGTGGTGTCGCTAGTGATCATTCGGCGGAGCCACCGTCTAATATGGCAAGTGTTGGTGGCGGTGCGTTATTGCTCCTTCAGTTATGGGTTCCTCGTGATTTCAACTGTTGGTGTATCCAGGCCGTGTGCTGTGTGTGTGGAAGAAGAAGTAGTGGTGTGACACGCCTCGGTGCGGCTGGGCGTAGTTACATGTTAATCGGTAAGTTGGGTGTTTTTGGGGCAGTGGGTCGCACACGCATATTTCCCGCCCATTTTTCGTTGGTATGTTAAAAAGCTTTTTTCACCTTTTATATATTTATATATATATATATATATGGGTGAATTTGTTTTCATGTTCTCCGTCTATGCTATACATGCTGAAGGGTTCTGCTTGGGCAGCTGTAAAGTATGGGATGTGATGTGCACATGTGGGATGTATTATTGGTTTGGAGGCATAACACACTTTTGGGTCAGAGTTTTATTTTTTTTAAAGTGTTGATGCTGATTGCAGGCCCCATATCTTTTATGTTTATATTTTATAATATAAATATATGTTGATAGATTTGGTTAGTGTGTTTGGGTACTTTTGGTGGATTTTTTCAGCAAACTAGGGCCCACATGATTACCATCAACACGTGGGTCTAGTTTGGGGAATGCCGTGGGTGTTTATGTGGGCTGATTTGTTACTGTGGGTTTAAAAGTTGAAGACAGACGTGTGTGGACAAGGATGCAGTGGATATATTTATATTTATTATATAATATTGCTTAGGGCCCACGTCATTCTATGCAAGTTTAATTGTGGAAAGATGGTTCCAGTGGGTTTTTTTTAAAGCCCCGGTTTATTGTTATTGGGCCGTAAAGTTATTTTTCTGTGAGGCCATCGTGCAAGAATTGGTATGGATCTGGTTTTGGAAATTTAGCCGTTTGGGCTCATTTGGTTTGACTTTTGGGCTCATTGATTTTTGGGATATATTGCATATATTTATATGATTGGTGAGTCCATTAGCTTATGTTTAGCCACTATGCAGCAGATCTTGTGTAGTCGATTTTCTCTTGATGATTGATCGTGTGATCCTCATGTGACTCGATATGAGGTGAGTTTTGAGCCATCTCTGCCAAGAGTGATTGAGGGGTCACTGCTATGGGGAACAGTGGTTCGATGACTAACCGAGTTAGAGACTGGGAGATAAGTGGGAGGATAGCTATCGGTTCCGGTTGCTTCTTGTCTTCATGTGACCCATCCTAATTGATCGTATTGCCACGCCTGACATGGAGTGAAGGGCACACTGCTATGGGGTTTGAGGCTTGTGATCTATCAAGGAAGGGACTGGGGGATGTGATGATTGATCTCAGGTTATTTTTGGCTATGTTTGGTTTGTTGCTGTGGGGCTACCGTTGTCGCTTCGACTCACAAGACTGTTGCTCATGGTTGCGGATCGTGAGCTTCATGTGACTCTGTCGGGATTTCTCATGGATAGATTTTTTCCTCTGTCATGGCTTTTGTTGAGTGGCTAGGATGTCACGGTTGTGAGGAGTGGGATGCTTATTGGATTCCATGTGTTGATCTATGGTAGAGACTGGGGGGAATGTGGTTGGTTATCATTTTTGATTTGTCTTGAGGGTTGTTGCTTTGTTAGTATGCTTGTTGTGGTTTTTTTAGTTTTATGGTGTTTTGTTTGTATCTTTGCCCATATATCCATCCCCAGTTTCCATCTATTATTTCTGATGGTAGGGGTTACTTGGGGACAAAAGGATATATGGGCAAAGTAGGGTTATTTTGTTTTCTGTTGTTCATGGGTTTCTCCCCGTATCTTATGGGGAGTGTAGGGGTAGTTTTTGTTGGTTATGTATTTGTTTAATTATTTGTTGTTGGTGTGCCTGGGGTATGCCCCTTGTAAACTTGTAAATTTCATTGTCTTTATTTTATGACTTACTTACCCAAAAAAAAAAAAAAAAATCTTCCAAACTATAGCAATTTCTTGAGTTTAATCCTCCAATTCTTCACAAATTGAGCCAAACACCCAACTTTATGCTGAAAATAAACACAATTTAAGACTTCCATTTTTGAGATTTTAGCTCAGATCTCCCGATCTAAATCCAAATCCCCCAGTATTTTTCTGGGTGATTTCAATGCTATTAGAATTTGTCAGGAAAAAGTGGGGGGTCTTCTAACTGGTCTTCTGAGCATGAGGCGTTAATACCTGCATTAATGAGTCTGAATTGGCTGATCTATCCTATGGGGTTGCCAGTTCACTTGGTCTAACAAAAGTGTGGTGGTGAATACATAGCCACGAAAATTGATAGGGTGTTAATCAATGAGGCTTGGTTAGACAAATTTCCTGAGTCTACTGCCTTCTTTCTCCCTTCAGGGGTCTCTGATCACTCCCCTGCTGTGGTCAACACCTCTCTTGCTAAGACCTCTTTCAAAAAGCCTTTTCAGTTCTTTAATGTTGGTCTAAACATCCGGAGTTCATCTCTACTGTTTCCTCTACTTGGAATCAATATATTAGAGGTGTCCCTATGTTTAGGGTGTATCAAAACTGAGGCAACTCAAGGTCAAACTCAAACTCTTAAACAAAAAGGACTTTAGCGATATATCGCTCCGTGTTCAAGCATCTAAGACTAATTTGGACCTTCTCCAATTTAAATTGGATAAGGACCCGTTGAATATTATGCTTCAAGGTCAGGAGAGGGAGGAACATAAGAAGTATTTAGATCTTAGCCAGGTGGAAGAGAGTCTTGCTCTTCAGAAATCTAGAATCCAATGGCTCGGGCTTGGGATAGGAACAGTAGCTTCTTCTTTAGAACTGTCAAAAGTAATATTAATAGGGGGAAGATTCTGAGTGTTGATATGGGTAATGGCCTTAGATCCACTGAAAGTGAAGACATCCACAATGCTTTCATTCAGTACTACACTAATCTTTTTGGTCCCCTTTTGGGGATGAGTATCATGGCTTTGAGAGAATCAGATCCCTGGTGCATTCCAAGGTTCTGATGATCAATCTGCTATGCTGAGTAAACCTGTTACTGATGGTGAAATTAAGGAGGTCTTTTGGTTCCTCAAGGCCAATAAGGCCCCTGGCCCTGATGGCTACTCAGCGGGCTTCTTTAAGAGCTCTTGGGATATTGTGGGTAAGGAGGTGACTACTGCTATCAGGTCTTTCTTTGAGTCGGGCAAGCTTCTCTCGGAAGTCCATAGCACTATCATTGCCCTTATCCCCAAGATTCCCAATCCCATGAAGGTGGGTGATTATAGACCCATTTCCTGTTGTAACACTATTTATAAGTGTATTGCCAAAATCATAGCGAATAGAGTTAAGCATGTGTTGTCGAATTTGATTGATCCTGTACAATCTGCTTTTGTTCCTGGTAGAAGGATCTCGGATAATATATTTCTGTCCAAGAGATTATGAGAGGTTACCATAGAGACTCCAAGGTCCCTAGGTGTGCTATGAAAGTGGACATCATGAAAGCCTATGACAATGTTAGATGGGAGTTTATCCTTGATATCCTCAAAGCTATGGACTTCCCTCTATGTATGATTAATTGGATCAAGGCGTGTATGACCAGTCCCTCTTTCTCTATTTGCATTAATGGTAGTCTTCATGGGTACTTCAAAGGTGCCAGAGGGCTTAGACAGGGAGACCCTATGTCCCCTTAACTGTTTGTGCTAGCTATGGAATTCTTGCTAGAATCCTTGCTGAAAAAGCCAAGTGTCCTATGTTTAAGTTCCATTGGAGGTGTGATAAGACCAAAATTGTGACCTCTCTGTTTGCTGATGATCTGATGATTTTTAGTAAAGGTGATCCTGAGACTGTGAACCTTATTATGCAAGGATTGGATGAATTCAGAAGGCTGTCAGGCCTTACTCCTAGTCCTAACAAGAGTAATATTGTGATACCCTGTTCTGTATTATGCTAATTGGTCCTAAATGCCAATGTGATTATATGTTTTGATATGATTTTGTCTGCCATTATGCGAATATATGTATGATTTTGAAGTTTTATCTGTTCACCGTAGGAATATCTGTTTGAATAACCTGCTTTGGAAATTAAATTGAGGGCCTTATCGACCACAGAACCCGAAATTTATTACGCCATTGTTGGCATAATTTTTAGACCTACGGGGAAACTTAATTGAAAAATTGATTCGTCAGATTAAATCGATTAAATTAATGAATGAGTGCCCAATTACTCTATATTATTATATTATGACTTAGTGAGGCTCTATACACTCAAATACCCTCTTTGTTATTCTTCTTGGCTGAATTAAACGCAAGAAAAAGAGAAGGGAGTCGGCTAGGGAGAGGGAAAAGAGGAG